GTCCTTTGCTCATTTTTTAATCAGGTTGTTTATTCATTGTTGAGTTTTTTATCATAGGAGTTTCTTATATGTTTTGGATGTTAACCTCTTATCAGATATATGGTTTACAAATATTTTCTTCCATTCCGTAGGTTGCCTTTTCATTTCGTTGATTGTTTCCTTGGCTGTGCAGTAACTTTTTAGTTTGATATAATCCTACCTATCTATTTTTGCTTTTGTTGCCTGTGCTTTGGTGTCATATCCAAGAAATTATTGCCAACTCCAATATTTAGCTTTTTCCCTATGTTTTCTTCCAAGAGTTTTATAGTTTCTGGTTTTATGTTTTTGTCTTTAATACATTTTAAGTTGATGTTTGTATATGGTGTGAGTTATGGATCCAACATCATTCTTCTGCCTGTGGATATCCAGTTTTCCCATCACGGTTTATTGAAGAGACTGTTCTTTCCCCATTTTGTGTTCTTGGTACCCTTCTCAAAGATCAGTTGATGATGTGTGGACTTATTTCTGGGCTCTCTATTTTTACTGTAGCTTTGTAAAACATTTTGAAATTGGGAAGTGTGATGCCCCCAGCTTTGTTCTTCTTGCTCAAAAGTGCTTTGGCCATTTGGGGTCTTTTGTGGTTCCAAAGGAATTCTAGGATTATTTTTTCTATTTTTGTAAAGAATGCCATTGGGATTTTGATAGGGATTGCATTGAAACTGTAGATCACTTTGAGTAGTATGGACATTTTAACAATATTAATTCTTTCAATCCATAAACATGGGATGTCCTTCCATTTCTTGGTGTCTTCTTTAATTTCTTTCTTCAGGGTTTTAAAGTTTTAAGTGTACAAGCCTTTCACCTTCTTGGTTACATTTATTTCTAAGTATTTTATTCTTTTTGATGTTGTTGTAAATAAGATTGTTTTCTTAATTTCCTTTTTGGATAGGTTGTTGTTTGCATATAGAAATGCAACTGATTTTTGTATCCTGCAACTTCACTGAACTCATTTATTGGTTCTAAAAGTTTTTTTGTGTGGAGTCTTTAGGGCTTTCTGTGTAGAAGATCATGTCATCTGCAAAGAGATAATTTTACTTCTTCCTTTCTGACTTGGATGCCTTTTATTTCTTTTTCTCGCTTAATTGCTACATCTAGGACTTAGAGTACTGTGTTGAATAGGAGAAGCAAGATTGGGCTCCTTGCCTCGTTCTGGATTTTAGAGGGAAAGCTTTCAGCTTTTCATCATTGAGTATAATATTAGCTGTGGGCTTTTCATAAATGGCCTTTATTGTGTTAAGGTAAGTCCTTTCTATACCTGTTTTGTTGTGAGTTTTTATTATGAAATGGTGTTGAATTTTGTCAAATGCTTTTTCTGCATCTATTGAGATGATCATGTGATTTTTTTTCTTCATTCTGTTAATGTGGTGTATCACATTGATTGATTTGCATAATTTGAACCATCTTACATCCCAGGGCTAAATCTTACTTGGTCATGGTATACAATCTTTTTAATATGCCATTTAATCAGTTTGCTAGTATTTTGTTGAGGATTTTTCATCTATGTTCATCGGGGATGACTGTTTTTGTTCTCTCACTGAGCTTAAGAAGATTATTTTGAATTCTTTGTCAAAGAGTTCATGGATTTCCATTTCTTTAGAGTTAGTTACTAGAGCTTTATTAGGTTTCTTTGTGGTGTTATACTTGCCTGATTCTTTGTGATCCTTTTAGCTTTGGTTTGGTATCTGTGCGTTTGAAGAAGCAGTTACCTTTTCTAGTCTTTACTGACTGGTTTCAGCAGGGAAACACCTCTTCAGTCAGCCTGGTCAAATATTCTGGGTGGACTGGCTGATGGACCTATGGATGGACCTACTGCTGAGGTCTCTGGGCAGGCCTGCTGCACGTGTCCACAGGTATGTGGCCTGCTGCCATCATCACAACTGATTTTTGTGTCTTGACTTTGTTATCTGCAATTTTCCTGAATTTGTTTATTAGGTCTAATAGATTGTTGTTGTTGTTTGGTTTTTGTGGAATCTTTAGGGCTTTGTACACACGTGATCATGTCATCTTTAAGCGGAAATAGTTTTACCTCTTCTTTTCCAGTCTGGATCCTCTTTATTTCTATTTATTGCCTAACTGCTCCGAATAGGATTTCCATCACTATGTTGAACAGAAATGACAAAAGTGAGCATCTTTTTCTTGTTTCTGTTTCAGGGAAAAACTTTCAGGCTTTCACCACTGAGGATGGTGTTAGCTCTGGTTTTTCATATACAGCCTCTATTATGCTGAAGAAGTTCCCTTCTATTCCTAGTTGGAGAGTTTTTGTCATGAAAAGTTGTTGAATTTTGTCAAATGCTTTTTCTGCATGAATTGAGATGATCATGTGGGTTTTTTCCTTCATCATATTAATGCATATATTACACTAATCAATTTTCATATGTTGAACCATCCTTGCATTCCAGGAATAAGTCCCACTTGGTCATGGTGTATAATCCTTTTTTATGTTTCTGGACTCTGTTTGCTAGTATTTTGTTGAGAATTTTTATATCAATATTCATAAAGGATGTTGGTCTGTGTTTTCTTGTAGTGTCTTTGTTTGGCTTTGGTATCAGGGTAATGACCTCATAAAATGAGAAGTGCTCTTTAATTTTTTTTGAAGAGTTAGAGAAGGATTGGTGTTAATTCTTCTTGAAATGTTTGGTAGAATTCACTGGTGAAGACATCTGGTCCACGGTTTTCTTTGTTGGGAGGTTTTTTGATTACTAATTCAGTATCTTTACTTGTTATAGAGCTATTCAGATTTTCTATTTCTTCATTATTCAGTTATGGTTGATTATGTGTTTCCAGAAAACTTGTTTTCACTTGGGTTATCCGATTTGTTGGTGTACATCTGTTCATAGTATCTTCTTACAGTTCTTTTGAATCAGTAGTAACGTCCCCACTTTCATTTTTGAGTTTAGTAATTTGACTTCTCTCCGTTTTTTCTAGGTGAGTTTAGCTAAAGGTTTGTTAATTTTGTTGATCTTTTCAAAGAATCAACTTTTTATTTCATTGATTTTTCTCTATTGTTTTTCTATTCTCTGTTTTAGTTTTGTCTGCTCTAATCTTTAATATTTCCTTCCTTTTGCTAGCTTTGAGTTTGGTTAGCTCTTCATTTCTTTGTTCCTTAAGGTATAGAGTTATTGATTTGAGATCTTTCTTAACAGATATTTACAGGTATAAAATTCCCTCTTAGCACTGATTTTGCTGCCTCACATAAGTTTTGGTATACTGTTTTTAATTTTTGTCAGAGTGCTTTCTAATTCTCTTGTGATTTATTCTTTAATGCATCACTTGTTTGAGACTGTTTAATTTCCACATATTTGTGAATTTTCCAGTTTTCCTTCTATTTTTGGCGTCTAGGTTCATCTCTTGTGATCAGAAAAGTTACTCTGTATGATTTAAATCTTTTTAAATTTATTAAGACTTGTTTTGTGGTCTAACATCTGGTCTATCCTGGAGAATGTTCCATTTGCACTTGAGAAGAATGTGTGTTTGGCTGTGAAATGCCACATAGCCACTAAAACTCATGTTCAGGAAGAATATGTAATTTCAGTGAACATATATTAATTATTTTAAAATATATTTTACAATAAAATTTATTTAAAAATATTATCTGACCTCCCTCACTCCACTGGCAATCACTGCTGCCTTCAATCAGGCCATGTAGTGGTTGCCCACGCCCCCAAATCTTCCTAATCGTAGTCCTCTTGGATTTATATTTAAGTTGGGTCTCATAAACCCCTGTGGCTTTACTTATCAGCTCACATTTACAGATCATTAATTATCTTCTGAACTCAAGACAGCAATTATGAGCTTCCATTTTACTGAGGAGAACAAGGATGGATTCTCAGGGAAGGAACGAGACCATGTACCAGGCAATGTATTAAATCACTTTATAAATATTAACTCATTCAACCCTCAGAGAGAGGAAGGAACCTATTATTATCCCCGTTTTTCAAACGAGGAAACTAGGGTTCTGGGACGTTTCTATCTTGCCTGAGGTTCCAGAGCTGGTAATTAGTGAAGCCCAGATTTCAACCCAGGTGTTCTGGCTACAGAGGCAAGGCTTTCAGTCACTGCTTTGTTGCCTCTTACTCTTATTGGTAAAAATAATAAAATACTGATTATTGATTATATTTAGTATAACAAAAATGTGATCAACAATGGTTTACATTGTTCAGAGCTTTTTGTTAAGTGTTTTCACTTACAAGAGCTCAATTATTTCTGAAAACTCATTTTGCTGAGACAGGAACTGAAGGTCAAGTACCCACAAGTGATGCTGCGAAACACCACTGCAGGAATTCCAGACTCATTGTTATTGCTTAATAATGCAATGTAAATAATAATAAAAGTGCCCACAGTCCTTAGGGCTTCACAATGTGATTTTACACACATTTTACGGGGTAACCGGCTTAGAGAGGCCAGCAACTCGCACAAGACAGCACAGCAAGTAAGAAATAGCAAAGCTATTGTTTTGCTTAATAATAATAATAACAACGCCTTGCACTCCTGGACTAAAGAGAAGGCTTTTCTTACGGAACTTAAACTCAAATCGCAGGGAGGTGTCGACTTCACCAGGGTCCCGCAGCTGCTTCGTGGCCCGAGGGCAGGTTTTCGGGTGGTTTGGCACCGGAGGAGCCTCCCGGCGAGTCCCAGAGAGGGAGCACCTGGGGCACCTGGGCAGGTGGGCGGGTCCGGGCTGCAGGCCGACGTGGGCCGCCCCCCTCGGCCCGGGTGCCGACTCCGTGCTGCCGGCGCGCCAGCCGCCCCCAGGCCGCTGAGCTGACCCCAGGCCCACGGACACCCCGCCCCCCGCCGATACCCGGCTGCACCCCGAGCGCTGCGGGCCCACTCATACCCCTTCTCGGGTGGACCCCGGGCCCCTTCCCCACCCCGTCCCCGGCCGCCCCCCGACCCCCTCCGCGGGCCGCTGGACCCCTCCCTGCACCCCCGGCCCCTCCCCGAGCCCCGCCGCCTGGAGCGGCCCGGGCGGGCGGCCGGTGGCCGGCGCGAGGCTCCTCCCCGGCGGAGTCGCTCGGCGCGGAGGAAGCGGAGGCGGTGGCAGCGCGGAGACCTCGCCGCGCTCATGGCGTCGCCCGGGTGAGTGCGGCGCTCGGGCCGCGCCAGGGTGGGGGCTGCGGGCAGCGAGGGGGGGCTGCGGGGTGGGGGCTGCGGGTGCGGGCCTCTCGCCGGCCTGCGGGACCCCCGCCCGCCGCCCCGGGCCGGCCCGGCCCCCTGCCGCCTCCAGGCCCCAGGCCCACTCCCGCCGACCTTGGGCGGCCGCGGCCGGGGCGGGGGGCGGCGGGGGGCGCGGGGGGAGGAGAGCGGCGCGGGGGCGGGATCCGGGGGCGTGGGCCCGGGGCCGGCGGCAGGGCGGGGTGCGCGGCGCGGCCCCCGCGCCCCAGGCCTCGGAGCCGTTTCGCCCCGGGCGCCGGCCGGCGCCTGCCGCCCTGCCCTCCGTCTCTTGTTTTTCCCACTTGCTCGCGTTGGAGTTGATGCTGGGTTCTTACCGCCGTCGGGACGCGGACCGAACGTCAGTAGCGCGGGCTGGGGGACCCCGCGCCGGCCCGGTCCGGGGCGCCCGGTCGACCGGGCCGCGGGCCCTGGTAGGGTGCTGCCCTAATTCTCACATCAGCTCCCTTCTGCTGTCTTCCTGTTGAGATGTTCCTTCTTTTAGGAAATGATGGTGACACACAGAGTTGTGTTTTTTTTCCATCATTACTTGCAAAATAAAACCTCAGCATTTCATTATGATTACTTTTTGTTTTGGTAATTTAACTAGTCATGAAAGATGGGAATAACAGAATTAATCCAACACCTGCACCTTCACAGAGGAGGAAAATTAGTCTCAAGGTCATTGCTTTAGTTGGTAAAATTCTTCGTTTGACCCTCGTCCACCATTCAGAGGATCTTGACCTACTGGCTGTGATAGCAATTCAAGTTGTAAATCTTCACACTTCATAAAAGGGCATTTGCAGGTGCAGAGGCCTGTGGGGTAGAGAGGATGGATAGTAGGCCTCTTACAGGTGAGGCCTGAGCCATGCCAGGAAGTGAGCTGCTCAGTGCAGTGGGCCTTAATGGAGCATGCTGGATTTGACTCCAGCCAAGTCATGGACATTTTTTTTCTGCCTGCTGCCTTTCTCGGTTTGGGGAGCAGTGGTCACCAAGTACTCAGTACTTTGAGCTCATAAATAGAGTAAACAACGGCCCCTCCCTCAGAAGGCCAGGGTGATTCACCCAGGGGTTCAAGGTTCCACTGCGTACTGCCCCTCTTGTCAGAAAGGGTGAGGCCAAGTGGCCTGGAGGCAGCAGGGATGGCTGAGCCTGTGTGGGGCTGCCATGAGGCATTTTAAAAGGGAGGGTGCATTTGGCATCCAATCCCACTACTTTGTAGACAGGGGTCAGAGATGGACTTATTGCTGGACTGGTATGCCCTTCTGTGAGCCAGTAGACACTAAACTGTGTCCCTGTGGGTGGCAATAATGCAGATTTGATATTTGCAGATCCAGCTATTTGTGAGTGACCCCATGAGTCTGCAGTTGGTACTAATCTGTAATTTCCTGAGGGGTACCCATTGCAAAGCTGAGGTCACAAACTTTTGGTATACTTTATTTCATTTTATAGAGAGAATTATGCACCTATTATGCTATGTACAAATTTGGGGACAGTTGACATCTCTAGATGTAACCCCCAAGTATCCACTCTGCAGGCTTCACTGGTAGATCAGAGTCCAGCCAGGGAGACGTGGCTTCCTGAGATCCTGTGGCCTGTCTCAGCTGATCAGCGGACATTCAGCCGACTTGACTAGGTGCTCTGGGAACAAGTCCAGAGACTCAGGGCAGGGCTGGGAGGGTAGCCATGATTTCTGCAGGGCTGTTTGTGGAGGAGCCTCCAAATCCCGTGTTATTTCCAAAGTGACAATCTCTACAAGAGAGTTGGGAAGGAAAGATTTCCTGACAGTTTTTGAGGCCCTTACCAAGGTGTGAGGCATTATGCAAAAGGAAGTGGCAAGAATGAAGGCATCAGAGGAAAGGATATATTTGAGATGACCCACAGCCCAGTGTGTTTGGAGCTAAGTGGAGAAAGGCCAGGGAAGGAGGCTGGGCCAGACTGTGGGCCCTTGCCTCGTGTGTGGGCTCACTGCCTCCCGCTCACTGAAGGGTGTTTGTCATTCGAGCTCCCGGAGGATCTGTGTGACACCAGTGTGGAGGAGGCCGAGGGGGCAGGAGAGATGGAGCTCATCACCCTGCCACCAACTGCCTTCCACTCCTATGGCCCCCATCTTGTGTCTTCCTTACTGTGTCTGTTCCTTCATTATTGGGGTTTCCTTGGGTTGTATAGTCCATCTCTGCTAATCCCAACACACATTCTCTGCATGATTGCATCCATTTCTGCAGCTTTAAATGTCGTCTAAATCAGAGGTTCTTAACCCTGGGTCCACAATTCGTGGGTGGGCTTCCGGGGTCCCTGTGTTCCCTGAAATTGTATGCAGTGTTGGAGGTGGGTGTGTATTTTCCTGGGCCCAAGAGCTTCATCATTTGTAGCCCATCTTGAAGGGGCTCCTACCCTCAGTAGTGTTACAGCCATCTCTCCACACCCGCCTGGAGGGATAGCAAACCTGGGTTACCTGTGCAAAGTATATATATTTTTCAGATTGTTGATGGTAGATAATTTGAAAAACAAAAAAAGAGAGAATAAAATTCACACGTAACCGGAGTTTCCATAGATGCTCCTCTTAAAATTTTGGTATATATATATATATTTTTAAAGATTTTATTATTTTTCCTTTTTCTCCCCAAAGCCCCCTGGTACATAGTTGTATATTCTTCGTTGTGGGTCCTTCTAGTTGTGGCATGTGGGACGCTGCCTCACCGTGGCTTGATGAGCAGTGCCATGTCCGCGCCCAGGATTCGAACCAACGAAACACTGGGCCGCCTGCAGCGGAGCGTGAGAACTTAACCACTCGGCCACGGGGCCAGCCCCCAAAATTTTGATATATTTTTAATTAGGCCATTATTCTTATCAGAGAGACAGCCTTACGCATACAGCTAGAGTCACCCCCACCCCCACCTCATCTTAGGCAAGTATCCTGACAGACATCTGCATGTTATGTTTGTTCTTTGCTCTGTTTTTCCCCTCAATTTTTTTATTGTGGTATATTAAAATTATTTAAAACATTATATTTTGTAAAATTATGATTTATATTATAAAATACATTAAAATACACTTTGCTATCTTAACCGTTGATTTGCTCTTTTTACATAAATGTTCTCAGACTGTTCCACAGCTTGCTTTATTCACCCAACAGTATGCTTTGAAATTCTTTCCATGTCAGAACAAGGAACAGATCTATCTAAATTTTGACATTTTTATAATAGTCTATGGCATGGTTATGTTATTTAGTTAAGAATGTTTCCAGTTTTCTCTGAATGACAATGCTGCACACTGATGTCTCCCTCTGGACATGCACAAGTGTGTTTCTAGAGTAGATACATAGAACTGGAGCTTGTGGTCAGGGAGCCTCTCCATTTTTTAATTGATACTACCAAAGTATCCTCATAAACAGTTGTACCACCTTTCTTTTCTACCACCAGATTGTAAGGTCTCTCTCTACCTCCCAACAGGTGATGACATCAAACTTTAAAAGTTAGGCTGTCTGGTGGAATTATTACTTTTTTTATAAAGATTTTTTAACTTTTTTTCCTTTTTCTCCCCAAAGCCCCCCAGTACATAGTTGTATATTCTTAGTTGTGGGTCCTTCCAGTTGTGGCATTTGGGATGCTGCCTCAGCATGGCTCGATGAGCAGTGCCATGTCCGCACCCAGGATTCGAACCGACGAAACACTGGGCCGCCTGCAGCAGAGTGTGCGAACTTAACCGCTCGGCCACGGGGCCAGCCCTTGTCTGGTGGAATTATTGAGTCAAGAAATAAGCTAATGGCATCTTCATTCACCCTGTCTTTAAAGACAGAAACTTCATCTCTGACCCCTTGTATTCCCTCACAAATAGTCGCAGTTTCTTTGGTCCTATTGGTAACATCCAGTTCTAACCACCCACATCCCATAAGTGAACTCATACCCCTCAGGTTTTTGTTTCAGAAAATGTGGTCATTGAGTGCTTGAGTAGTCTGTGCGCTGGGCCAGGAGCAATGTCAGGAGACCCTCCCAGGAGGTGAAGGAGCTCCACTTGAGACCTCATCCACCCTCCTGGCCACTCCTCTCAGGGCTCGCCTCCGTTCACAGCCGAAAGCACTCCCGTTAGCACGGAATACTCAAAAGTACCCAAGACTTAATTTTAACCTTTTGTGTTCCCTGTCCAGGAAGAGTCTCTCCCAACACCATCATTTTGTGGGGAAGGAAAGGATCGTGGGCTTTGCCTTCTGGGGAGGGCTCTGCTTTCCCACTGGGGCCTGGCCTGGTCCAAATGGGCCAGAAGAGCTCCGGGCTCTTCATGCTGGGTGGAGGATGGCTGCTCTGGCCAGGCCAGGGAGGGGAGGAAAGGCCCAGAGGCCACACTGCGGAGAGGAAACACTGAGGAACTCAGATAATGTGTGTGTCTGCTCCTGGGAGAAGTCCAACAGGAGCCCATAGCTGGTCGGGAGCTGCTGTGGCTTCTGAAGAAGGGACATGGCTTTGCCCGCAGGACGCAGATTATGCTTTTCCCACTTTGGATCTTGAATTGCCCAACGAGCCAGCAGCCACCCCAGTGTGTCCCCACTGGGTGAAATGGGAGAACTAGGAGGGTGTTGTAGGCTGCAGTGTCCCTAGCCCTTCAGAGCAGCTCACCAGCCATGACTTAGCTGTCCATGGGTGGAATCGCCACGCAGCCAACCTCTGCTCAGCTCAGAGGAGGGCCTCTTACCCGGAACCACGAGTGGTAAAGGCTTTACAGTCCAAGGGAATGTTCTTTTCCATTTAGATCCTGCCTACTTCCAAGAAGTGTGTTATTCTAAGTGCTTTTGCATCTATTATGTTATTTAATCTTCACAACAACCCAACCTATAAGTACTGTTATTACACCCATTACACAGATGAGGAAACTGAGGCCTAGCTAAGCAGTGCAAGTTAAAACTTGATGCAGAATGACCCCATTAAGGATAG